GATAACTATCTTAAGACTAATAAATATCTGCTACCAGTTGTTTATTGGTTTTTCAACATATTCTTCTTTCATCGAAGAAGTGTTTAATGCGATACGAAACTCGTAAGGTTTTGTGAAATTTCTACTAAACCTTTAATGCTACGAAACCACTTCGCCGGTTCCGTATACTCTGTACAAAACCTTGTAGAAAAATATTTTGTTTTGAGGTTTCGTACCGTCTAACAAACCCTTTGAATTTCGAAATTTCACTACAAAACCATTAAAACTTTCGAAAAAATACACGAAACCTTAATGGTTTAGTATGGAGCGTTTTTTTTTTAGAGAGTATGCTATCCACTCATTTATATACGTATATTTTCTCTATAAACGCATCTTTTTGCTACTATAATACGTCTATTAGTTTCTATTTTTTATTCATACTAGCTTTACATATTACATGAAGTCATATGTTCAATTTCTAGCTAACAATACATCTGTTTTGTCTATGCATGTTTTTTTCTTGACATTGATACCTTTATTCTGGAAACATTACAATAAATTAATTTGTCGTACGTCCATTAGAATAATAGACTTGGTTACTTTTCAAACTGCATTTCACTAGAAATGGACAGAGAGTTGCGATTTTTACTAACCAAAAGACAAGGCTTTGGCGCGTCTTTTTATAAAAAGAAAGTTTAAAAATCTGTATTTTTAGGTAGATTCCTCACAAACCCTTGAAAAACTCTGTAATCACTCGAAAACTTTGTAACATCAATAGACTGGCTTTTTAGATGAGACTGTTATTAGAAACTGTTTTAATGGATTTCGCAGTACCTCGAAGAGACATTAAGTTTTACATCTTTCTGATATTTGTCCCTTATTTCCGGCTCTGGCTGGAACTGGTCATCGATTATCGGTTTTTCCATTATCAAGATGTACAAAAGTTGATACTTATTTATCTAGTTTTCATATTGTAATGAACTCATCTAGTTCAGCTCCCACAGAGACACTGCCATGCTTTCCACACAAAGAATACACGTGTAGGAAACCATGTTGACTTGTTTGTAAACATTCTAGATTGTTGAATAAAGATTCTTTATATGTAAACTCTTTGTGTGGAAAACATGACTGTGCTTTGTGAAGGTTGAACTAGATGAGTTCATTACAGAATAAAAATAAGAAGAAAAGTGTGGTGGAATGAACAAGGTAAAACGAACTTGTTGCTGATAACTGCAGTTACTAGTAACAATGCCCACCACTAATTTTCTGTTAAATGACTAGAAAATAATAAAGAAAATGATGGAATATATTTTTGTGTCATATTTCTTATAAGAGAGTCCATGAAGAGCTTGAGAATTACAAACGAAACCCCTCACATGTTTACAATTGTGTAAAAAAGCTTTTACTTTTTGAACAGCTCCTGAATTTTCTTAAAATGTTCTACGTCACTTTTATGAATATGATAATTGGGATTACCGATGTTGACAATTTATAGAGTACTAAAGTTTGGGTTAAAACAGAAAAAAATTTTCGGAGTTTCTACTTCGGAGGAACTAGGACCTAACTGGTTTACTAAAAAGAGCGAAATTTAGATAATCTAATTTAGTTCAACTTTTAAAAGCCAAGATTGATAATAAAGAGATAAATATACTCGTTTTATGCTGACAAATTGATCCTTTTATGATCCTTGTATGATCCTCGATGATGTTTATATGTTCCTATTTGGTGCCATGATCCTCCAAAACCGCTTTCCCCCCCTTGCCTCAACTGTTGTCATATCCAGTGATGTCATACAGATGTTCATAGATCGTCAAACATTCATCCTTCATACATTCCTGTTTGATACATCTCAAGTCCTATCATGACATGTGAATTTGAATTTATCAATATTGATAGTGAATAGTCAAAGAGATCACAAAACACCCCAAGTGTTTATCAGCCGTTTCATCATTTACTGAACAAGCGTATGAAAGAGAAAGTAAATTACAATTGTTATCAATTCAAGAAATCAATGAACTCGATCACTACATGACAGTTGGAACAGAGATTCAAGTTGCACCGATCGTCACAAATACAGTCTTGAAGATTCTACTTGATCAAAATATTTTGCTTACAAAAAATATTGCTGATATTAATCTGAATCGTTCTTTGTTGTCTATCCTTTGTCTTGTATCTTATATTTACATCAAAGGTAAACGTTAGTAGGAACAAAACATTCACAAATTCTTTTGCGTAAACTATGAATGAAGAATTATGTCCGTAAAAAGTTGAACGGTAGCGCCTAACCTTTAAAGCATAAAGAGCTGTCGCGAGATTGCACTGAAACATCTCAAAATGTCCATTGCACTTTTGCCTTTAATCTGAGACGTTTGAAAGCTCTAGGCAAGGGGGGAAAGCGGACTTCAGGACTCTATGGGACTCCCGGACGTGGTGAAGCCCCATGACGTCCAGAAATCTGTATCTAGTTTTTGACCCCGATATGATACAGAAAAAGGCTCTGTGTTAAAATGGGACTATTGGTAGCCGCAGGATTTCTCAGTAACGAAACGTTGTGGATACCTCGGGCTAGTCTTAAGCTGACGAAAACACATGTGACTAAAGGCTAATAGAGCCAGATTTTTCATATTTCACTTTTCAAATTAACGGTCAGCGTCAAAGGTCCAAAATGCGAAAACGTCTCACTAACTTGCATAAAGATAGTTTTCTAACGACAAATCTAGACCGAATATCAAAAATCGGACTCTATTAGCCTCTAGCCACATGTGTTAACTTCGGTTTAAGACCTTTTTGACCTCTCTGCGATGTTTCGTTACTGAGAAATCCTACAGCTATGAAACGGTTTTAAGGTGAAAGTCGCTTTCGAGATATGGAAGCGTTTCTAAAAGCGTTCTAATTCTAAAAACCTCCATACCTCTTCGATCAGGACCAAATCACCTTAGATTCTGATAGTAGATACTGTGGGCTATCTAATGATGTGTTTAGCTCAATATCGACTTTTTATAAAAAGTTATATGTTTCTGAGGGAGGAGGGGGGCTTAGGCAGAAGCTGAGTATGTGAGTATATAGAATATCGCATCGTTTCGAATAAAAGTCTTCTTTTGATTAAGGTGTCGGAAATTCGAAAGGGGCACACAAAATTAGATTTCCCTGAAACATACACGGTTAGATAGAGCTCGACGAGTAGATTCCGAATATGTCCTTGGAAGTGAACTTTCATCAAGTTTGGGGGAGAAATCTTCAAAATACGAGAAGGTATGAAAAACGGCACTTTTGACCCTTTTTGAGAAAACTTAAGATTTCACCCCTTTGTCGTCACTGTAAATTTTTGAAACTAATTTATTCGGATTCAGCATCAAAAATTAAGTATATCCATGTAAGTTTGAGCATCTTACATCGTTCTTGTTGCTCTCGCTAGGACGGACTAGTCAATTAAGCCTCTAAGGCATATCCTCCTCTGCCAAACCTATGTAGTCTTTTGTTTGAAAAGCTTTCCCCAACTATCATACACCATTCGAACCGCCATTCGACGGCGAACAAAGTTACGTATCCATTTCGAAAACTTTTGCTTTCTCGCTGAGAAACGTAGGCTTTACTGGAGCAAAGTGTAACATTCCCTATCTGCGTTTTATCTATCCATACAAAACCGATCTAAACTCAGTTTTAACGTCGACCCATAGGTAAGAAATCGTGTAGAATTCAACGGGCATACTCAGGAATAACGAGCGAGTCTATAGATGCCATAAATTTAAGTGCTTTTTTGGGAAATGTGCATTTCAGGCAAGACAAGAGAGGATCTAACTAAGTTTAGTTGTGTGACTGATAGCATATATTAAGACCGGTTTCTTGTAACCTGTTCTTTTCTCTACAAGCTTAGTTCGTTCAAAACTTCCAAGTTCCGATATACCTCCAAAGACGAATAGGCAATTTCAGTGTGGAGCTGCAGTCTCTTGTCGATGGAGGGATAAAGGAGAGAACAAAATGAATGCTGATGAAGTTGAGGAAATGTTAGATCAATACGATGAAAATGATGATATGAGTTTACTGGGTAAATTGGATATTTCAATCATTGGCGCTCTTTTTGAAATATGCAAGGCCGATTGTGGATCTCGCCGACTATCCGTGTTAGTCTACATGCTTCTTCGATTTACTGGTCAAAGTTGCCGATCTGCCGACGAAATTCTTGATAAGATAGGCGCTTTTCGACGCACTCGTGCACATAAATAGTGTGAAGTGTTCGTCTCTGGAGATTTCGATTCTTTTGCAAGTGATGGTCGAGGTGGAAAAGTGTCTCCTTCTTCCTATGATGTCTATCCTGAGTTGGAAATCGAAGGTAAGGCTTTTGCTTGCTATCGAGGGATGTTCTCGCAGGAACGCCAGTTTCACTGCTGCCCACCTGGCCAAGTTCTTAGATGATATGTATTATGAGTTCACTCAAACTGTCAAAACTACCGATGATCTTGTTTGTTTTGAGAAATCTTGCAGGCTTGATCTTCGTCGATGCGGTGCTCGTTTTGAGCCCAACACACAAAGGCCCTCTTTCGAGGGACATGAACGTTCAGATGTCTCTTCGCAAGGAATTTATTTCCTACTTTCGCCAAGCAAAAGATCAATATTACACAATCAGCGACGGTGATCAGCCAAAGTGGAAATTTACCCCTCAAAATCCTCGAGTTCTCATCTGTACCCATGTAGAAATTTCCAAGAAAATATACAAGTACCTTTTTTATTGTTAAAAGAAACATGTACAGTCGTGTGTGTATTTAGATTCTATTTTCTTATTCCTTTGTTTTTCTGGACATTTATATTATTCTTCAAAAGAGAAATGATAGGAATTAACAGAAAATATTTGCTGATTTGCCCACAACAAACTGTTGGGAGAAGGAGAAAAAAAAAACGGAAATTTTCACTCCGTACTACACTCGGAAACGATGAAAATATACAACTCGACATTCCCTATCGAATGAAGCAAGAAACAGGTTTCTATGTTGAAAAACAAAGATTTTATTGAAATTTTAAAAGTGGGGCTAAAAACCGAGAAGAGAATTAAATCGATTACAAAATAAATGAAAACATGGTAACTGTGGTTTACCGTTATGGTGAACATGGATGTAATGTTATTTAAGTGTAGAAAGAACGGTACACTTGGTATGTGTAATAATTTATTAGCGAACACTATGAAAAGAAAAGAAGAATCATGTAATTACAATTTCTATAAACAAAATGTAACATATTTACGCTCGTAACAGTTTAATTTATAAGTCTAGGCTAGACTGAAGTAGAAATATTTAAATTTCTTTTCTTGTCTCTCTTATGTGTTTAAGCGGTTCTAGTCTGTTGAAAAGAAGAAGAATAAAAAATTGAAGAGTATGAGAGAAAAAGAGATATATAAAGAAGAAGAAGAAAAATTTTTTTTTTAGACTTTAATTCTCATCTCTTCAGTCCAAATGGCACTGAAATCGGGTTACCCCATTGCATCTGTATCCAAAGGTACCGAGACAATGAGTATTAGATAGCTTGTCCAAGACTATCACGCGACCGCCGTTGCCGGGATTCGAACTCCGTATGTTTGAAGTACGTTGTCTGCCCACTAGCCGACTGAGTCACGCTGCATAAATGTTCGCTGCATGAATGTCTGCATGAAAAGAATTTTGTCATAATACGGTTTTAATATCTGCTGTACGCATATTATATTACAACTTGTGCATTTGTTCTATGTATCTTTTTATCAATCAATTTTATTTTCTTAAATTTTTAAATCTTGTACTGCGCTACAGAAGATTGCATATGTGATCGAAACGTCTAAATAAGTGTTATTAATTTATATAAAACTTCATTATGAAGACAAAATAATTTCTACGCTAATTAGTAACTATTAAAAAGAAGTTTATTTTATCGTTCTGAATAATGCAAAAAACTATCATCCTTCAGATGTACAAAGCTGAATTATTAATTGTTCCTGTTCCGCAACAGTGAGAAAGAAAAGTTTTTTTTCGCTTTTGATGTGTGCTGTGATGAATCATAATTTCTTTTTTTCCAATTCTACACATTACATTTTCTAATAATGTGCGTATTATTTATTGCTTTATCATCATTCTCCGTTCTCATGATCAAGCGTCTTTACGGCGTCTTTATTCTTTTTTCGCTACTGTGAGTATTGCAGGCTTCGACGATAAAATGAATAACTAAAGGCCATATGAACTTTTTCATAGCTCATCATAGCAACATGTTTTTATCTGAATGTTTACAAAAGATCGCTGGTCAAACTTTGAATTTTGATCCGGCACTTTTAAAATTTAAAATTTGACCGAATATAAGGTTTGTCCACAACATATATATTGCTCTCCGTTTGACTCTATAATTAGCCACCCGTTCCACGGACACGATCTCATTTTACTTTCTCGTTATCCACTCCTGTTTATATATTTGCTGTAGAGTTTTGCGTGTCGTCATTAAGTGAAATTTCTAAGGCAAGCCTAATCTGCCTTTAATGATGTCGTCATACGATTTCCGGAGTATAGTTCACGAATGTTGAAAGAAAACTGAATCCGTTAATGAAAAGGGTTCACCTAAGGCCGGGAAAGTTACAGTTCAACATTTATTGATAATCTGCCTCCAGTACTGTTTTCTGAAAACTGTTTCAACACGATGATCATTAACAATGAGATTTTCATTCTTTTTAGAAATAATCAGCATTTCCTGCTCACTCTCTGTCCCTCTTCATCACCGGTCCACTACGCAACGACCAACATGTCAAACCGGGCAGTATCCATGTTCATTCCTCATGGTGGAGGACCGATGCCTCTACTCAACGCTCCATCTCACCAAGGCATAATTGAATTCCTTACCGGCAAAGCCCGTACATTACTCGGTTCACCAAAAGCAATCGTCTTGGTCACTGCTCATTGGGAAGAACACGTTCCGACAATATCCTCAGCCGAAAAACATTCGTTGCTGTTCGACTACTACGGGTTTCCAGACGAAGCTTATCAAGTTGAATATCCAGCAAAGGGATCACCGTCGGTTGCTGAGCAAGTAAAATTGGCACTCAGTAAACAAGGATTTGATGCAAAACTGAACGACAAACGTGGATGGGATCACGGTGTATTTGTTCCGTTAGTACTGCTCGTTCCAGATGCCAATATTCCAATTGTTCAGCTGTCTGTACTCAAATCACAGTCGGCCGAGGAACACATAAAAATGGGCCGTGCATTAAGTTCGCTACGCGACGAAAATATTGCAATTCTTGGATCAGGCATGAGTTTTCATAATATGCGAGCAATCTTCGATCAAATAACAGTTGAGGATAATACACCGTTTGAAGATGCAATTCAAGATGCATGCGAATCAATCGGGCTGGAACGAGACGAAAAGCTCAGAAACTGGGAAAAATTTAATGGAGCCAGGTACGCACAGCCTGTCGGTTATGCAGAACATTTCATGCCACTTTTGGTCGCAGCAGGTGCTGGTGGTGATAGTAAGGGCAAAAGCGTCGCTCGATTGCTTTTCAAGGAATTTGCGGTCAGCGCATACGTATGGTCGTAATCTATGCTACATTCATAGTCTGAACTCTATCCTTCTGTTTTGCTTATAAATTGCGCATCGTCGATTTATAAGAACTTCTTTTTCGTTACTGGAAATATTTTCTGTTAGGGAAAAAGCTTGTCAGTGTAGATCAGCCAATCTAAGGGTGAAATTCCTTCTTACTGCAACAGTTGCTTTTAGCGAACAGCTATCAAACTAAGAGTTCGCATCTTTCGTATTTATTGGCTCATTCTTTGATAAAGTGGCAAAGCATCTAAATAAGTTGCTAGTCTGATGGGCAAATTGACGCTAAACCCAAAATAGCTTGTTTCAGCCATGCTTTAATTGAGCACTCTTATGTTTGATACTAGCAGAGGGTTTTATTTCATCATCATCACGGATATTTCCTATGACTGATCGGTAGTTATTAATAGCGGTACAATTTTACATTAAATATCTAACACTCTTTTATATAAACGTAATACCTTTTCATGATAACTTTGAATGTTTTCTTTCATGACCATAAAAAAATATTCTATATATCTCATTTGTGCACCATTCACTGTTAATCCAAATTTTTGATTGCTCGATCTGTATGACATCTCAAGGCTGTATAACCAATATAATGTGTTATATAAGCAGCAGTTGTATATAAACTTATTATTTTTGGAAAATATGAGGAAATATCGCTGCATAAATTTATTAATTCGTTAATACATTCTGATATATTTTCCATAGCATCTATTTTGCAAAATTCTTCAATTGCTTCTGCGTATAAATAATTGCTTGATTATAATCACGATGAATATAATCTGACGTTGTTATATTACTATATTAATGTGGATATAGTCGACTGATTTGTATGTTTAATTAATGATAAATTATGATATTTAATAGCCATTTGTGTATGAGATGTTCTGATGATTTCTGTACCGTTTGACCTTAATGTATGGTCTCACCTGGTTTTCTGCTCAGGCTGAACGAAACTACCTAAGACAAATCAAATTGTATAAAATATTTATTATGTAGTAATATTATGCTTGATTAATCAACACTTCTAACTGCTATCCTTTTCAAAATAAAAGGCGTGTGGTTGGAATAATTTTTATATGCAAAAAACTTATACAGTTATACATCCTCACGCTCAAATTAGTTTAGCTGTTCAATCAGTTTGTGATGATTCAACAAAGACAGTTAGTGTATAAAAAATATTGTTTTAAGAGAAGTATCCGTTATTAGCTCTTGCGAATGAAAAGTGTAATGAAATCATTAGTCCCGCGAATTGCATTAAAATTTTGCTCCTACATGCGCTTATGCATCTCAACTAGTCCCAAACATCATCCAAGTAACAGGGATGGGCGAGTCAAGCCATTTTTCGAGTCGAGTCGAGTCCGAGTCATTTTGAAATACTTTCGAGTCGAGTCGAGTCATCGGTGTTTCCGAGTCGAGTCAAGTCGAGTCAGATTATTTTTTCGATTATTTCGTTTGTTGTTTATTTTGATAAAAAAATATTAAGAACAAGTTTCATGACACATTATCCAGTTCCCAGTTTTTGATCCAGACGCTCGAATATTTCCATATCCAAGGTATCATGAACCTTATAGTTGCGGATTTTTAACAACAAAACATGTGTGTATATAACAAATACATTGTTTTAGCCTAAGACAACGCAGCTATTAGTCAAGAAAAGCAACAACGTTTCCTAGAGAATAACTTCACTTTTTATATACATGTAGACACTTCAAAAATGAACCGAAACAAAACAGAACGAGATAAAACATATATATTCAGTAATATACACAGTTTATTGTTCACGACCATATGAATACATAGGCAGAAAAGCTGTTGAAAAAATTATTCTAATGCAATATATTCCATTAGGATAAAAGTTATTAAGAAGTGATAATTTAATCTTATAAATTGTAAATTTTTTATAAGAGCAAATGAAAATCCTTTTGGATGAATGACTCGAGTCACACAGGCGAGTCAACCTTGCTCAGTTTTCGAGTCCGAGTCTAGAACAAAATGCACCCATCCCTGCCAAGTAAGCACAAAAAATATTCGAAACCCAGTTTCTTTGAACTTTAAAAAAAGCCCGTATTACATTTCCTTCCTATAAATAAAAGACACTAATAGTACGATCAATTCATATTCCATTACACTGCGATTTGTAAATACGAGGAAATAGATTTTAAAATTAACACACTTCGAACCTTTTCTAATATTCTTTGCAGGCAGATAATGGAAAGTCTGTGCTTTTGCTCATCTACACCATGGTAACAGGAGCAAATATTTAAGTAGCAGCCCCCCACTCACGTATTTTATCAGTGCTTGCACAGCGTAAAAAAAGATTTTTATCAACTGTATGGAAATTTTTACCGGCTTGAAAAGTTCACTTTTCGGTCTAATGGCCTACAAAGAGCAACAATGAATAGTTCTAACTTTTTTTAACTGCAAATATACTAGAGAGAGCGGAGAAGATTTTGGTGCAAACCGCCTGTCAAGAGCTTTTTTCGTTACCGCGTTATGATCAAAAGAAAAAGAGGAGTGAGGTACATGGAAAATTTTTGCCGCCACTGTATATGCATATGTGTAAATACTCTGGTCCTTGAAAAATTTAAAACTAATCGAATAGTTAAAAAAATAGCTTGACATGTATAACTTAATATACTCTACAAAATGATTGACTTGAAAATCCAAAATCCAATATCCAATTGAAAAATTTCATGTTTTTGTTTTCTAGAAACCTCACTTCGTTTCCTACGGGTTGCAAAAGATCCCAAAACTCTCACCATGGCTCATGATAGTACACTTGGTGTACTCGAACAACATCATAGGGGGTAAGAAATTCGACATGAAATTGTCAGAACGATTTCAGAAACAGTCCAACACATAGTCTATCTGAAAATATGATTGAGGATCTTATGTTTCTTTTCGTTTCGACAGGATTGATCGCCAAAGTTGATTCAGTCGCCGATTGGGACTGTCGGCCCGTCATCTACTGCAAAAAAAGGGAACCATATCCGGGCTCGCGGTTGCGTGAATTTGTAGTAGACACTATCTAGTATTTATGATAGAGTTGATTAGTCTAAGTCATATGCCATTGCGAAGTTACACGTAGTTTAAGTTGACAATTTTTCTAGATGGCGGAATATTAGTTTTTTGGGGCTTTTCGTAAAAATCGAATATCTCAGCAACGCAGCAACTTTAGGACCGCCGATTTTCACCAAAATTCATGAAAATGTTTGCTCTAAATAAGCCCTCTACTTTGGAAGAAATCTGAGATGAAAGCAAACTTGGTCAACGGTGTACGATTCTACCACGCTGTTTTATTTTAACAAAACATATTTGAGTCAAAACATATTAGTGTATTAGATAAAGCGCGAAAAACTCTTGCTAGAAACGTGACTTGATCTTCCATAGAGATCAAAAGTGTGATAAAAATGAAACAGCGGAGAAATTTCTTGGCGGAATCATATGTTCAAAATACCACGTATACAAATTCAGATGACTCAGTCATCTAAGCACAGAAGTTAATTTCTTTCATGTGAAAAATAAGTTTATTTGTTCTACTTTCGACCTGAGCCACACAAGTGGAACGAAGAAACAACCAACTTTCGCCGCGAATAAAAGTGGAAAAACTCATGGATGCGCTGTTTGTTTACGGTTCAAGACGCCATCTGTTTACAATACAATTATTATTTGTCATTGTTCAGTGTATCGATAAAGTGAAGAAAAAACAATTTTTGTGAGCTTAAACTGACATAATAGTTGCTGAATCCGGTCGTCTATTAAGCTTAGAAAAAGAAGTCCGTTATATCCAAAGATTTCTAGAAACTCTTCTCAAAAATCATACAAACATGTGTGGATTACTTGAAAGTGTATATGATGCATGATTTCACTATAAAACCGAAACCGTCGTCGTAAACGATTTTTAGAATTCACATTTACGAACAATCATATATGCGTGGTTGTTGGTATCTTCGATAAACAAAATTTCCGTTTCGTTTTCTCCATCAAATTGCTGAACAATGGCTGTTGTTTATGTTTTTAGTTGGCACGACCAGGCACTGTAAGAAAACGTCTGAAAACTCTATATGAAAAGTCAGATATTCAACAACATCACGTGTGTGTAAGACTACCACGAATACGGCTACGTGCTTCTCAGATAATCAAACGATGAAATATTATGTTGCTCTAGCTCAATACCGTCTGCAATCCCTGCAGCAACATAACCAGTAATATTAACATTATAATATTATGGTTGTTTTTCTTCTTTAACAGTAGCAGATATGAGTGTTCTGATGTAATAGAGAACATAGACATTTGTATATGAAATGAAAAACAGAAGAAAAGAAATGATATTTCGTAACGTAATATTTTTATTTAGTCATATATATGTCGTATCGAAGTTAGCATGTTTATCGAAGTTATAACTTCGATAGAAATTTTATAGAAGTTACAACTTCGATAGTCCATCTCATCGAAGTTATAACTTCTATAACTTTTTTTATCGAAGTTATAACTTCTATAAACATACTTCGTGGAAGTTATAACTTCGATGACGTGCTGTATCGAAGTCATCCTATTTTTTTTTATTATGCTCAACGGTAAAAAGTTGATTATTTGAATGATATTATCAAAAGTTATATTTCAGCTAAAAGCAGATATATTTACCCATCAAAAACCAGAAATGTACAAATTATGAAGAAAAAGTGAATAGATATATTCTTTTCTGTCCTTTCCTTATTAATGTTTCTAAGCTGTGTATCTATCATGTACAGATCAAGTCTATAAACTAATTATAAAATTGAGACAATTTTTGAAAGTGAAACTGTCTGGTAATCGAATTATAATAAGCGGATCATTTTCAATAGTAGTATAAATAGAGAAATACGCATAAAAAGTGTACTCGTACTTATTCATAAATCTTAAACATATAAATCTTTCTCACTCGCAATCAACGCTACAGACTTGAACACAATGATGACTTCGCCTATATCATCTCCTTCGATTATGAGAAAATGTAAACCTGTTAAGAAGAAAACCGAAATATCTTCATCAATAACAACTACAACACCGGCTTCGGTCACATGTTCTTCAACAGCAACAACAACGGCTATTGATATTGCAAAATGGAAAAATGATTTTAATGATGAAATTTTGACATCCAAAAATGATTCAACAAATAATCCATTATTCACATCAGAACGTTATGATGAAACAATTGAATTAATAAATGGTGCAAAATTAAAACGCTATAGTGATAGAAATGAACAAGAAATAGCACTCTTGAAAACATACGACGTAATTAATGTTGGCGGTCAGCAGAAATTAGTAAAAAAGATTAATTCATCAGAAGATGGTATAATTAAATATTATGTTTCATTGGACGAACTATTTGATGTGGTGCAAACAGCTCATGTTACAATTGGTCATCGTGGTATTAATAATACATTGAAAGAAATCAAGAAAAAATATGCAAATGTTACAGAAAGACAAGTCAAATTATTTATCTCTGGTTGTCATGAATGTAAAATAAAATGCTCCAAACCCAAAAATTCGTCGAAATTAGTCGTGCAACCAGTTATCTCACATGATTTTAATGCGCGTGGTCAAGTCGATTTAATCGATATGCAGTCATGTCCAGATGGTCCATTTAAATTTATATTAAATTATCAAGATCATTTTACAAAATTTTGTGTTTCAAGACCAATGAAAACAAAAACAGCAGCAGAAGTCGCTTATCATTTATTAGATATATTTACAATGTTCGGGGCTCCGGTTATTTTACAATCACATAATGGTCGCGAGTTTGTGGCAAAAGTTATTGAAGAACTAACTGGAATGTGGCAAGGTCTTAAAATCGTACATGGAAGAGCTCGTCATCCACAATCACAAGGATCAGTAGAACGTTGTAATCAAGACACAAAACAATTGATAGGTATGTTAACTAAAAGGAAGGGATACCGTTATTTATGGCTTTTTTCTTAAACTTAGGAACGTGGATTCGTGAAAATAGCTGTAAAAAATGGTCACAAGGTCTACGATTTGTACAGTTTCAGAAAAATTCGTGTCATCATCGTGTGCTAAAACACAGTCCATATTCAGTTTTATTCGGTCATGAACCAAAAATTGGTTTAACATCAACATCCTTACATCCATCTATATTCGATAGTATAACAACAGAAGAAGAACTAGAAAAGGAATTAGGCATACCAGCAGTTGCCGATCAAGATACAATTGATGAAGGCGAAAGTAGTCATGAAACAGAAGGAAAAGGCTCAAAGAATGATGATGAAGAAAGTAGTGGTGAACAAGATGGTCAAGATTTGGATATGAGTCCACTTAATGATCGAATTCAACGAACGAATGAAATTCGTCAGGATGCGAGAGAAGGTCAGAAACGTCAAGCTGATCAATTTTTACAAAATACATTTAAAAAGCAAAAGTTAGCAAATTTGAATGTTGGTGATAACGTTGTAAGTATTTTCATGCTAAACTTTCCTCAGCCATTTTAACATTGAGATTTGTTCATTTAGCTGGTATCGGTACCAGATGTTGATCGTGCTCCAACAGATGCGCGCAATATATTAGCTGTTATAATGGAAATTAAACATGACAAATATAAATTAGGTACAGAATTAACCACGTTCTCATCAAGTCTCGCTAACTTCAGTAAACAGATTTTAAAAAGAAACTTGATAGGATTTTGAACTCTGCATCAGAGACAGGATGGTCCAGGTCAGGTCCAGGTCATATGTCCAGACGTGACCTAGCAAAAGCGGACTTGGACCTGCAAGACGTGAACCTGGACTTTGACCTGAACCTCTACCTGTGACCTGTCGGCATAAGCAACATATCAGCCATTGACTATATCTAGCAGTGTGAAACTGAATTATTTCATACACATTTTCTCTCCTGTTGGAAATTCTGAGAACAATATGAAAAATCGTAATAACCTTATTACCTAAAGACATTTTTGTTCAAAATATCTATCATGTGCTTCTCATATATTCTAAGAACTGTTCTTAAACTCTAGTACAGGATATTGTAAATTCGCACTATCAGAATTTTTTCATGCAACGGACCCAGCGTCAGGTCACAAGTTCAGGTCATAGGTCCAGGTTCAGGTCAGGTCCAAGTCTAGGTCTATTTTTTTCAAGTGCAGGTCCACAGGTCCAGGTTCAACTTTATAGGTCAGGACCGGACCCGAGGCAAAATTGTTCATTAGATCGAATAACAATAAGCCACCTTACAGTTAAACTTTCTAGTTTCTCCTACAAGTTTTGACCCTGACCCGCGTAGGTCACAGGTCAAGGTCTAGGTATCCTGTCTCTGCTCTACATCCTTGTGTCGTAATTTTTGCATCTAATTGATAGAACTGTGTTTGGCTATCAAAAAGGAATTCAAAGCTAAGAATACCATCGTTTTATTTAAAACTAGATTCGTTTTGCTTATAACGACAACAATGTAATCCAGTTTTGCTCTTCTCCGTGTGCAGCAACAATTAATTATTTACATAGATATTCTGCAATGAATTCTAAAAGACATCGATTCCAAACTAACACTATCATAGTAAATACGTACTTCTCATTTTTTAAAAACAAGATACATGAAAAATGAAGGGTGAAAAATGCGTTATTTGATAGAGTACTGTAGGGTAAAAGGACACGGTGTCTGACATTTTTGTCGTATTTCTGGTATTTCTCAGCCGTTTTTGATCGGAAAAACTTACTATTGAATATGGTGTTAGATCGAACATTTTTCTACATGCGGATGCAGAAAACGCCTGAAAATATGCGATAATCGTACAGAATAGACTTTCCTCTGCAAAATAAACGGTCACACTACTTCCAATGCGCTTGAATTCCAAGTTATCACAAAAACAGCTCTATTTCTCTTTCTGTCGTTGAAACACACTGGCTG